TTATAACATTTTTAATAATATATAAGATAGTTAACTCGAACAAACGGTCTTACTATGAGGAAATATACTATACAAATAAAACCTGTAATATGTAGTCTTTACAGAAAAAAAAACAACAAAGCTTCATACTCTAAGCTTAAGCTCCACCACTAACTAGCACTTATTTATCATAAACATTTTTTTCTACTCCCACCAAAGACAGTCAAAAAGAAAATAATACACACACAAAGACAAAAGGACAAACTAAAATACCAAAGAACATTCATACAATTAAAATTCATTGATATCTCAATAATTGTTCAAATGAAACAATACAACAATAAACATACCAACTCTAGATTTCTGATCATACGTATACATGTATTGATGTTGGACTCATGAGAGACATGCCTCGTGTGTGGTGAAATAACCTGCCCACATCAAACTATCACACACCAAGGTCAATCCATCAAAATCATAACCTTATTAGACATGACCATAAGACTAAGAACCTTATGCTACTCTTCGCGATATAACTATCATTCTCTACTTATGATTGGAAGTTATTAGAAGTGTCAAAATCATCCATTAATCTGAGTTTCTAATTCAATACATCACACTACCAAACAACAATAAGGATTTTTCCGTGGAATCCCTTTCACAAAATACTTAATTCACACTTTCCACTTCATTTGACCATCATGGTACATATGTCACATACATGAGTACTATTATCTATTCTATCCAAAAAAAAACACACATTGAATCAATATACATCAGTCTAAGTCAAATCAAAAATCATAAAAACATAAAAAACAAACACTACTATAAAATAGGATAAACACAAAAAACATTAATAATAAAAGACATGGTAACATTTAAATGTAATCAAACTTCATTTTATTTTTATTCAATATGTATTCTAGTTCTTAAATAATATAATCATATTTAAATATTTATTTGAAGTTTAATTTTAATAATAAAGAAAAAAGATTTGTTTTTACTTCTTTATAATATTTAATTTTTTATTTATTCTAGTTGAAAATATAAAATATTATTTTTTTATTTGTAGTTTTTGTAAATGACTATTGTACCCATAAAATAGTAAAAAAAATGTAAAATTATATATTTTTTATTTATTAAACTATGTGTATACAAGTTTTCCCCTATTGATATTAGTTGAATTGAATTAAATATATTAACTATTTTTAGTTGATATTACTCACACGTTTAAACTAAGCGAAATAAACATGAATCAAGTGTATAAAAAAAATTTAAATTCATTTTTTTTAAATAAAATTTAAAACCATATACTTTTAATTATCTATCTCAAAATTTAGAAAAGAACAATCACTTTGCTACTTGATCAGGTCTCACGTTATGAAATTTAGGAATAATATCTTTACAAATTTGTTTTCGTATATCTTAAGTAATATTTGTTTTGGAATCTAAAATTTTGTACAATATTTTATTTTTAAAAGAGGAAGAAAGAAAAATTAAAAAATATTTAAACTTTTTTTTAGCTGATACCTAAGTGATGTAGAACCTAAACATTTTTTAAGGTCAACATTTAAATCAGTACAAAATCAAGTATACAATTATACTAAAACTTTTATAAAATTAAATGTGAAGTTTTATTTTTAATCTCAAATTCACTTAAACCAACTTAATATTAATATATATTTTCAAAAGTATCCTTAAAAGTGTAACATATTAACAAATCTTTATTTTCAAATAGTAATTTTAGACACTTTCACTCCTTGAAAATGAATTTGCGTTGGCAAAATTTTGAAAAGAGCAGAACAACATAAATTTCTACTTCAAGGACTTCTTAAGCACTACCTCTGAAATGTGATGTAATTTAGTTTTGGAAAAAGAAATAAAATAGTAAAAAAGCACTAAAGGTTGATTCTATATATGCAAAAGAGTTAAAGTAATTAAACAGAATAGAACAATCTAAAGAAAAAGAAACTTTAAAAAGCATTATATTTTAGTTATACATATTGAAAGTGTGAAAGCATTGAAAACAAGATAAGAAAGAAGAACCTGTTTTCTTGTGTTGGATTCACATGATAAGCGTTGCGAATGTCTCTGGGTCAACTTGACCACCTTTGCCTCTCCAGCTTGACCGCAAACTAGGCGCCCAGTAACAAATCACAGATTTCATTGACCATGATCAAGAAAGTGACGTTAAAAGGTTAATATAAGCCATCATTTCCATACTCATGTATTTACATTATATCATAATTAAAAATATAATTTTCTAAATTAATATAATATAAATGAGTGTATTAAATCAATAAACATGTCTACACGTGTGGAATTACTAACTAACTTTCTAAGCAAGAAATCCATAAAAATAATTACTCACACGTACCAAATTTGATTGCGAAGAGATGCCACGTGGGATGAACACACTGCACCATAAAAATATGACACGGATATGAGTCATTCGCACGAAACTGTAGCTTATGTACAATTGTCGGTGAGATCCGCATAACTCTTCTCTTCAATGCGGGACCTTCCCAACCTAACATTAGTTTAGAAATGCAAATATATAAACAGTAACGTTATTTTTACGTTACATTCTGACAATTTTCCTTCCTAATTTAATCATTTTGATTTCTCTTTTTAAAATTTACAGTTTGTTTGTTATAAAATTAACATAAATTTTTCATTTTGGTGACCCAAATCCCATGGAAACTTCTTTGAAAAAGGCGACAATAACATAGTCTCCACAAATGAAGAATTTGGATCTACCTTAGCAAATTACAAATGGTGGGAACGACAGGTAACAGTAACACACATTGATGTGTGAGCTTACAAATCGATAGCAACTGTGTCTGGTCCCATTCGGACCCTCCACCACCCATGACAGCGCATTCTTAGCTTCACTAACTCGACCCTTTCTCCCTCTGTGAGTGGTGGTAGGTATAAATAATAATATATTAAGGTGCTGATATTGCTGAGACTTTAAGCATTTTATTTCATTTGAATAATTAAACGATGTAAATCAGTTTCGTATCGGACACTGCAAAGTACAAAGTGACAGCAAAGAAAGGGGCTAAATTAGGGTTTGATGAAGATATATAATTTACGTTTGGGTAAGCTGTCTTGCAAGGTTGTGATTTGTGAACAAATTGAAACCGGTGAATGTCTCTCGGTGGTCATTTGGAGAATCGATTCACGGTCACTGTCGTATAACCGTTCCACCTGTATGTATGTCTACTCGTAGAAAAGTAAATGTCAAAAGTCTGCTATTTAAATGATACTTTTTTTTTAATTAATGGATAGGAACATTTAGATTTTGTTGATACGTAACCATTTTTAATTATTGTAATAAAAAATATTCATTTACAAAAAGTTAAACCTTAATAACTTTATTAAGGATACGGTCCACTGCCGTTTGCATTAATGACTCTGATGAAATCATATGTGCTATGTAATGTATGTTAACTTTTTTGTGATAAAAAAAATTATAATTATAAAGAAATTTTAATTATTTAATTATAATTAGTTTTTATTTATTTTATATATAATGTTTAAAAGAATAGTTAAATTTTAAAAATTAATTAAATTTAAATAGGTAACTTTGAAGAATAAAAATGGATATTAGAAATGGAATCTCTTGATAAATATATATATGTTTATAACTCTTTGAACATGTTTAATTTTTTGTACAATTTTTTTTAAATATCATAATTTAGTAATTCTCGTTCTCTTTGTTTGATTGTACTAGTAGTTTTGTACTTTTAATAAAATCTTACTAACAATAATTAAAAATGCCTGAAGAGGTGTAACTAGCCAATACCCTTGATAAATAGAGAAACCTTTTAATTGGATGACTAAATTCATTAATATGACTC